GATGAGAACAACTTTTTGGAAAGCAAGGCTATGTGAAATTCAATGGAAAAGTCAGCTAAACTCAAAACATTGTGGGAAAATTCTACTACCAGTCCTTTATCACCTTACACGAAATAGGATGAATACATCTCATTACAGTGATTTACTGGTAATCTCGACACCCTACTCTAATATGAACATTTAACATTTCTCGATTCTTAGGCTGTTTTAAATTCTCACTTTGTCAATGCACTTCTGCTTAGTCACCTTATTTTATGAAGTTATCACCCGGGCAACTCAACCTCTCTATCTCATTATGTTTACGTAAGCGCACGAAGTACTGTTTTGTCCCAATAATATCGTATTTTTTTATTATCGGTCGTAGTTCGCAGGAAGGTAGGCATATCCACTTTAGTGCGTCTTTCTCAATCCCTATTTCCTTTTATAATCCTTAATATGTATGAGCATAAACAACTTATTCCACTCCATATCATAAGTTTCCCCTAATTTCTTAATGAAAGCCTGGAAAAAAATCCACCTAACCGTGCTCGAGTTGTAATTTCTTATAAAGCTATCAATATGCCGTGAGATCCAGTAATAATCAAAGGACGATAAAATCCCCGACCTCAAGATTATTATCCTTTTTAAGCCTTCTTAATAAATCCAAATCTAAGAGATATATCAAGTTTGAGGAAAATTTACCCCAAAAAGAAGTGGATGAGAAATGTATGTCCTGTCGAGGCTACACAGGGCACGAATAAGATCAAATTAATTTAAAAATCAGACTTAGCCTTAACAAGTAGCCTAAACGCTTCCTATGAATCCCAAATATATAGGCTAGAATAAGAGACAGAGAACAATAAAGCCATTACAATATTTAAATGGCCACGCAATAAATAACTTTAAAAAAAACTAGCGTTCACTTTTGGACAAGTATATTTTGTCAGTTGAGCTTCATTTAGAAACTGTACAAAAGACACAGGAAACCTATTTGTGACAGAATTGACGGTTATAGAACAATCTCGGATAGCAGTAGAAACCTTAAAGTATTCACATTAGCCTGACAAAAAGGTGAAATGCAACAAAGATTCGTGAAGATAAGCAAATTGCTTCATAAGTCAAAAATGTCAATTCTTCCAAAGTTCTAAAGATTTGTTAATGTAAACATTACAGACAATAAATGAGGAAAAGAGGAAGAGAGAGGAAAGGCGAGATGGAAGATTAATAATTGAAAGTACTAGACAATGACCAGGATGCTGATTAAAAAAAGAAAATACTAAATTGGGAAGGTACAACAAAAAAGGTTGACTAATTTATGAAGACAGTCTCATCCTTGCGACGCTTCGATCCAACAAAAGTTCCTGGCTTGGCCTGCGAATCCGGATGGTTTGCCAGCTCCGGCGGGCAGGTAGACACAGGTGACTGAAGCAGTAGTTGTTTAAGATCATAAAAAACAGCGTTGTCATCTTTAGTAAGAAAGGTTATTGCAGTCCCAGATTTTCCGGCCCGTCCCGTCCGGCCAATACGATGAACATAGTCTGCAGGATTGAGAGATAGAAAGCAATAAAAAGAGATCAAGGAGGATAAATATGTATTAATAATTAATATAAGTTATGATTTATCAAAGCTAAAACTTATTTGCGAAAAGGCTATATATATACAAGTAGAAAATATACGATTATTTAAAAAGTATAATATAGACGGATATATCCGATTAAGGAAACTGAGAAAAAAAGCAAGCCGAGAGGGAAAATCAGCAACCATAGGAAAAAATATAATCTTTTTTTAGAGAGAAAGCAATAAATTGCCATGTAATATTCTTTGGTAGAATTGTCGATGAAGCAAAGGTATATTTGCTATAACAATCGACTACGTTACTTTATTTTTCGCATTTAAATATTGTTTCAAGACTACCAGTAAATCAGTAATATGAGATGTATTCACCCAATTTCGTTTAACGTGATGAAGGACTGGTAGAAGAATTTTCCCACAATGATATGAGTAGAGCTGACGTTTCCATTAAAGTTTACATAGCCTTGCTTCCTAAAAGTTGTTATCATTCAGTGTGTGTGAGAGCAAGGCAATGCAACT